AAGAGGCTGCAAATAAACTACAAACATCAGTTAATCAAATAAATAAATAAATAAATGGATCAAACAATGGCGTATTAAACTAAACGAAACCAAATCTGTTAATACTAATTTTACTAACAAAAATGGTCAAAGAATACCATTTAACATAAATATTGCACAGGTCCTTAATGCTAACTCAGCAAAATATCTAGGTATTACATTAGATGCAATACTTCGCTGGAAGGTTCATGTCAAGAAGAAAAGACAAGAGTTTAATATAAAATGTACTGGTTACTTGGTAGGCATTCCAGCCTATCTACACATAACAAAATTCTATTATATAAACAAGTTCTTAAACCAATTTGGACCTAGGGCATTTAGCTCTGGGGTTGTGTCAGCTACAGTAATATTCTAATAATCCAGAGATTCCAGAACAAAGTATTGAGGAACATTGTCGATGCTCCTTGGTACATTAGAAACAGCGACCTTTATCAAGACCTTCTGATGGACCCTGTTGACCAGACTATCACCAGATTCGCTAGGAGTCGCGTACAACGTCTCCACCAACATGTGAACGTTGAGGCGGTCCAGCTTCCTGACGACACGAACCTAAGAAGAAGACGGCTATTATTATTATTTACCGTGGCGCTCCGGGGCGACTTAAAGATGATTGATGGTGCCATTTGACTTAGAGGTGAGAAAACCCCGTAAAATCTCACCTACCATTATCGAGACGGTAATGTAAGGCAATTTTTTATAATCTGCATGTCATACCAACAGAAATTGAATTTCTATTAATACGGCACACATCAAATCCTATACCGAACCATGCAAATTAATTAAAAATCCACATGGTCTGGTCTGGGATTCGAAGCCCAGCAGTCTCTGACACATAAACTTGCTTATAAATGAATATAAGCGCGTTAGACACCGACCTAGTTAACTTAGGTTATAACAAAATTACTCATTGATCAACTCAGATTGTAATGTCAGAAAACGCCTCTTTTGGAGTGTTTTTTCACAAAAAAAAAACGTTCATGCGATTTTGTTTTCTACTGCACATATCTAGTACACGTATTAAAAATGGTACATGAAAAGTCAGCATCTCACTATTTTAAAAAGGTATGTATATTGTTAATAAGAGTGGCGTCTGTCAGACGCCACGCGGGTATCGGAGGGTTAAATATTTCGTCAAACTGACTGTGCTTGATAGGTCGTACGTTAGTGACGTTTATTTTCTATGTAGGGTAATGTAAAAGAATAGCTTTCTTTAATTGATTAAAAGAATCAAAATAATGTGAAAAAACTATCTGAGTACAAGTAACAGGTTGTAAAACGGAATATTCAGATGTAAAAGTAAAGAAAACACAAAGAGAAATTATCTTAATGTCTTTTTAAAGCTCCTAGTTTAAATAAAATAATTTATTTATTTCTAAATATAATATTTACTGTAAACTAGTCACATTTCGTATCCTATGAAGTGTAGTTTATTTAATTACAAATTTCTGTAATATAAAATTTTAGGGTCATAAATCCTGACTTAAAAACAACAATAATTATACATTAGGGGGGTGGGTTGGCTCAGTGGTTAGAGTCATGACTCTGAGATCGGAAGGTCTTAGGATCGAATCCCACCGGTGGCAGGAATTTTTATTTAATTAAAAAAAAAATAAATATTAATTCTTATGCATAGGTAGGATTCCCCACTCGACCATTCACTGTTGGGTTCTAATTAACAGTGCTGTTCCTAAAGTGGCGCCTGAAAACAGTAACAAAGCCTACACAGAACACGAGGCTAATGGCCGTAGTAGTCGACGCCGATGACACCAAATTAAAAAAAAAAAAAAAATATATACATTAAATTTAACTTACTAGAAAATATTTTTTTTATTTTAAAATTTTGATATTAGATTAAGAGTTACTACTGTAATTTTTTTTTAGAATCCTAATTTTATTTTTGTAAATGTTCTTTTATAGGATTCTAAACGTTAAGACCAGTATCATTCCTAGGGCTGATAAAATACTTTCTAGAGATGATGCTGTTTGCAAGCTACACTATTTAGAAGGTGATATTTCCAATTATTATGAGACTATTTGTACCGATGGTTCTCAAATCCCTAGAAAGATAGACAAGGCAACATACACTCATCTCCAAGAGGCTTAGAAAGAGGTGGAAACCGAAACATTAAACAACAACAACAACAACAACAACAACAACAACAACAACAACAACAACAACAACAACAACAACAAAAATGTTTTGGAAAAGTATTTAAACACTGTACAAAGCATAATAAAAAATACCTATAAGAAATCTTGTCTTCTGAGGCTAGTTCAACATAGTCAGACGACTACCGCACTGTGGTTTTACGAGTTGTATCACTTTAGGAAGATGGCCAAGAAATTCCAAGGCAAGAACCACAAACATAAAAAGGACTTGTATATTTACAAATCTCACCTCCGAAAATACAAAAAATCAACATGCTTACTTCCCGGGCAGATCTACTGATTGAGCCCTTCACCTAGTGTCTGGTCGGAAAGAGAGATTCCTAGACAATAAGTCCGTTTTTTCATAGATACAGAAAGTGCTTTTAAAAAAAAAACACCTTTCCCAAGATAATACATTTACTTACCAACAGGAATGTTCCACAAATAGTTAGTGGGTGGATACATAACATGCTCTTATGCTCTCAATAAAGATAAGGGTAGAAGATATGCATATAAGAGGCTTAGTTGCGACGGGATGTCTACCTTTACTGTGGAAGAACATATTCTGCGAAAGAATGCAAGAAGCTCTCAAAATTATAAAACAGTAGTGCAAGGACAATTCACTGTCTATCAATCGCAAGAAGACGGAAATGGTCCTTCTCACAACAAAAAGGATGAAAGTGGAATTAAAACCTCCAGAACTCTTAAACTCAAAATTAAACTTTGCAACAGAGGTGAAGTACCTAGGTCTCACCTTTGACAGTAAGTTAACACGGAACTCACACGTAGGACCTATGCTAACATACAGTGCAGTTTTCTGGGTACCAAAATCCTAAAAATTGACAACTATCCGCAATCTAGAACAAATTCAAAGAACATCATGTCTCAACATAACATTATTCATGAAAACCATACCGACTAGAGCCATGGAAGTAATTCTTAGTCTCACTCGCCTTGATATTTACATCAAGCATGTTACTCTGATGACAATGAAATGCCTCCGCACGATTGGAAAAGAACCTGAATAGGATCTGGTGAGGCAAGACGCCGGTTTGGCAGGAGGCGCTCGATACGCTCCCACTGCTTCAAGCGAACATGGAATCTATCTCACCGAGATACATCTTCCATTAGTAATATAAAGTTATGACAGAATAAATAGAAGAGCCGGAAGTGGCAGGTACAATTCATATCTACACCGACGTTTCTAAAACAGAACAAGGCTCAGGATCTGAAATATACTCCAGATCCTTAAAGCTAAACATAAAATAAGCTGAGGGCAATACTGCCAGTGTTGTTCAAGCAGAACTCACGGGAATTCTCATAGCAGTAAAATAAATCACTAGAAACAATATGACTGGAAGAAACATGCTTATCTATGCAGATAGCTGACAAGCACTACTCACCCTAAACAGACCACGAATTTACTCATGGTAGATACTAGGAAACCACAAATATCTGGCCGAAGTGTCGATCGACAATGTGGTTACATTACGGTGGAACAACAGTCACGGCACATCGAAAGGTAACCATTTTGCTAATTCACTGGCCAAGAAGGCAGCCAACCAAATAGTTTTTGGACCTGACCCTTCTATTGCCCTGCAAAAATCGGTTATGACAGACCTAATTATAGAATAATGCATTGTGAAAGATGGGATGAAACAAAAAACAGGAGAGTTGCCAGGGAGCTTTTAAGTTATCCTGATAACACTACAGCAAACAAATACTTGACTATGAGAAGACAGAATCTGTGCCTGGTCACAAGCATTCTGATTGGTCATTGCCAAGTACGGAAGCATCTCAATTTCTTGGGGCTGTCAGAATCCTTACTCTGCAGGGGATGCCAACAAGAAGGTAAGTCCTTTGAACAAATCATCTACGATTGCCCGATGCTCTCATTTATTTCGCGAGTATCGGCTAACACCGGCCGATATGAGAGAAGCACCTCTTGGCTTATCAACACCATTCAATTTGCAGGCTTACTCTCGAACTTGGAGGTGTTTATCATTAATAGGAGGATGTACAATGAGCCTAGTGAGGTCCAAGTGCCATGAGGACAACCCACCCTCCACACGTTACAGATACATATACAGATGTATAAGCAGACACGAAAACTTTAGAACACAAAGTCGACTTGTGGTTTTGACTTTATTATTTTTTCCAACGGAAAATTTTCAGAATTTTCGTATTTTTAGTTCATTAAAGATTAGTATTTTTAAAATACAATGCATTTCTTATTGAGCCTATTTTGTGCACGTATCTAGATAGCTATGCTTGTTATCTGTGAAACCACAGACATTTTTTCTAAATTGAATAGTTTTTTAACCCTTTCAGGTATTCCGCTGCTCCCCTTTAAAGGGTTCTGTCGGACTCCACTCCATGCTTGGGGTCCAGCCTGCTTTCCCTTCTCTTGGGGTTCTCATGGCGGCACTGAAGCCTAGGTGGATTATTATACCACCATTTAGATGTCTAACTCCGTCTCATTTATCATCATCACATTCAATCATCATCATTTCACGTAGTGATGTGCTTTTGTTTTGGGTGATAAGGTTTGATTGGTTTTACAGGGCCCTTTAAAAGTTTGTTCTACTTTTTTTTTAACAATTAATTGGTATGGCACACATTTATGACAATAATTACGTCATATCGTAGAAATGCGGCTTTTATTTATTTTTGATTTCTTACATTTTAGATCGTCAAATCTGGTTTTCAAAATACATTGTATATTGTAGCGAATCTCATACAGTGTCAGATAGAATGGATGATAATAGAATAGCAGAAGGGTTAGAAAAAATAATTAATTAGAATTAAATTACCTGTAATACTCTTTTATCATATTTCTGTAAACATTTGAATAATAGATCTCCAAAACCGTCTTCTCTAGAACCTAAACCTAAAATTTTAAAAATTTATTAGAGATGTTAAAAGCCCAATTATAATTACTTAATTAAGCCAAATATAGGGTATTCCAATAAGAGTTATTTTTGTTTGCTACTTTTTTTGTCACAAACTTTTTATGTGGTATTCTTTTTTTGTTGCATTCTGCAAACCAGTACAAGTTTAGCAGCGGTACACATAGTGCGTACATTTAAAACTACAGGTTCTATGCAAGATATTAAAACAAAACAGCGTGAACGTTCAGCTCGCTCGGTTGATAATATTGAAGCTGTTCGTTAAAGTGTGGCTAACAATCCCCAAATGTCTATTGCAAGGCGTTCGCCGCAAGTGGGCATCAGCAAAACCTCAACATTACGAATTTTGAAGAAGGATTTGGTTCTCCACAAGATTCAGCTAACACAGGAGTTAAAGCCAGCAGACCATGGCCAACGCCGTAATTTTGCTAACTGGATCCTACAGAGGAAGACAGATGATGATTATTTTTACAACAAAATCATCCTAAGCGACGAGGCCCATTTTTACTTGAGCGGTTACGTAAATAAGCAAAACTGTCGCATCTGGGGCAATGAAAATCCTAGACAAATCCATGAAAAACCAATGCATGCTCAACGTGTCACGGTTTGGTGTGGTTTTTGGGCTGGAGGTATCATTGGACCTTCCTTTTCTGAAAATGAAAACAAACAAGCTGTTACGGTAAACAGGGAGCGATATCGAGCGATGATTAACGACTTTTTATGGCATGAGATAAGGGACATAGACTTCAACAGGATGGTGCGACATATCATACAGCAAGAGAAACGGTGGATTTATTGCGTACAAGATTCGATGGGAGGATTCTCTCAAGAAATGGGAACGTAGATCATGCGACTTGACGCCGCTGGATTATTTTTTGTGGGGTTATGTAAAAAGCAAAGCTTAGGAAACTGTTTAACAGCTGAAAGAGGAAATCCAAGGCATAATTCGTGAGATAACACCACAAATGTGCTCAGATGTTATAGAAAATTTCAACAAAAGAATTGTTTCCTGCCAGAAAATTTGTGGTGGCCATTTTTTTCGGGTTTTCCTCACCTGTAAGTCAAATGGCACCATCAATCATCTTTAAGTAGCCCCGGAGTACCACGGCAAATAATAATAATAATATCCGTCCCTTTCCCCGCACAAGCTCAGCTTTTGGGGTTAAAATTCACTCGTAAGGGGGTGAATTAGGGAGAGTATTATTATTATTATTATTATTATTATTTGCCAGATATTATATTCCACGTATAATTGTAAAAAATTATACTTTTTATTGCAATAAGAAATTGTCATTTATGTTGTAAACGTTTTCTTTTATTTATTATCAACATCCGGAAACTCTTGTTGGAACACCCTTTCTTAAACAGGTGAATGAAATAGACTTGGTTATTTAATAAAATTTGCTTGAGCGTTTTCGACGAAAAGCCATTATCAAAGTCTTCCTAATAGTATCACATTGAAATTTATAATCAACAATGATTAGCCAATGTGTTATAAAATTTTGTCAACCACAAAAAAATTTACAAACATTTTAAGTAAAGACGAACATTTACCATTATAAAAAGGTGACAACCATCAAAGTTACATTGTTAAATAAGTAAGTGGTGAGTACCAAGAACAAGAATAGATAAAATTAAATAATTTAATCCATTTTAGAGGGGCCATGATTTGGAATTTAAGGTCGTGAACCATAAATATTTGAGTGATCCAAAATCATAGTTGGGTTTTGACTTTGTTAAGGCAATTTTAAATTTCAATTACTTTTAGAGGAAGGGCCCGTATGCTGGTGTCGTTCTATGTAAGAGAACTTGATGGGGACAGAAATTTATAGACCAATGAAATTACGAAAAATCCCACCTATATAGAATGAGTTGCAAGTCTTACAACAGAATAAGTCTAAGATGTCAATTTTATCCTTGTTTCTAATAAATAGCTTTTGTATAGAGTGGGAGCTCCTGAAGGGAACTTTTAAATGGTATTTAAAAAGGCTAGCCTCTTTATAAGAAATACCACATGCAAAGGTAAGATAAATATGTAATATACTTCTAACTAGTAATTTGTTCAGGTATTATAACTGTGTGTGGATTGTTAATAAAAATTGAATTTTGTTGAATTTTATTTTGTTTTCTTCTAAGCATTTTGCCAATAAGTTAAGGTTCATAATTATTGTAATCAATAACAATACTTTTAATAGTATTAAGAAGGTCTCTATCGAAGCAATATTTTGCAAAGGTATATTAAGTAAACGTTCTATATAACAATTTAAAGCAGCTTATTTATGTGTAGCTGGATGATTGGAAGCAGTCTCGGCTTGTCATAATTTAAAATAGGTGTTCACTTTTTCCAATAATTTTATCATTTGTAAGTTCGGATCAAAACTTTGTACATGAGTCAATATCGCTGTTTTTTTATTATTTGAGTTTGTATTAAGTGTAGTTGTTATTATCAGCATCATACTGTTTTCAAGCACTACAACTATTAATAAATGAATATTTTAGTTAGTGTAATATTTGTTTTGTTTTAAATACGTTGAAAACCATCTGTAAACATTATTAGTTAGTAAACTGACATTTCTTCATAATTTAAGATTATTTTTAAATATATATCAGATTATGTAGAAAGTTTGACATTGATTTTTGTGTAAAAAATTTTATATGAAACTTTACCTACAATTTTTTAGTTTTTATTGTAAGTTTAATCATTTTCACAATTTGTCACAGATGTCAAATAAAAAATTTATTTTTTAAATACCTTTTATTGGCAAATAAAATAAGAACTAAAATGTTTTAAATATTTATTTTTTAAGATCAGTCCCATCACAATACATAATATTACACAGACACAAACTAGAATAAAGAGATATAATGCCTGGCACTCTAAATGATACTCTTCGCAGTTCAACAGACCCCCTTAACCCCCATTTTCAACCAGATTGTTTTCACAATCAATAGGCTTCATCTCCTTATAGAGCTTGATTTTTACTAAAAATTTAATGTTGATATCGCTTCTCATTTTTGAATTTTTTTTTTAATTTCAATCCCCATTAAATTCTCCATATTTAATCAGATTTTTTTTATAATTAAAAGGCGTCTTTTCCTTTTAGAGATTGATGTTTGCTAAAAATTTCAAGTTTATATCATTTTTCGTTTTTCAGTTAGGATTTTTTTTTATATTTTAAACTTCCTTAACTCCCCAATATATTCATATTTTTTTCAGTATCAAAAATTTCATGTTGTTATCGCTCTTCGTTTTTAATTTAGGATTTTTTTTTTAATTTTAAATTTAAATTTAAAAAGGCCCACAAAAATATTAAACTTCTTTTATCAAAGGATACTAAAAGTTTGAAATAGCAGCACATAATTGAACATTTACAGAAATCTGTGAACTAAACTAGTGAGATACACATCGTAAAATGTTATCACACTTAATTCTCCATATGACCTTTTCTAAGTGTATTTCGAGGCACATTCCAAAGTATTCTTGCTCTCACTCTGTCCTACCCTCATGACAGACTTTTGCATGTCCATGTTCACTAAAAAATAATGAGTTTTAATAAATAACAGAATAATGGTATTTTGTCTAAATAGGTAAATCGGCTTCATCTGTATTTTCAAATTATTGTTTAATGATACTTATTGGATTAATTGGCCAGAGCATATAAATATGTGGGATGTGACTTGTTAAGTGCCTAATCAAAATCACAATTTATGTTTGATACCTATTGCTTTTTTCGAGACATACTTTATTACCAACTGTAAACTAATTTACCAACAGCCATTTTTATTTATTACCTGCAGTAATCCAAATTATCATATCTAATATTTTTGAAAATACTAAATTATACAAACAAGGAAATAAAAAAATGTCATTAAAATAAAAGATTTCTGGTTTGTATGCAACAAACGATCTAGGTTAGAGGGTACCACGATTGATAATTACAGGCAAACATAACTTTATATAGGTAAATTATTTAAATGTACATACCATTTCTTAGGTAAAATTTCTCATCGAGTATATTAAATTAACAGTTTGATACATTTTTCCGATTTAGACTTTTAAAGTGAAAAACCATCAGAATATTCAAATTTTTCCGTTTAGCGGGTTTTGTGGGAAAAAAAATTTACAAATTGTTTGCTTACTTCTTACTTCCTAGTATATACAATTGGGTGCAGAATAGACCATTTTGAAGTAGTCTTTGGATGGTCTTAGACACTGAAACAAAATATAAAACAAATTACAGTCGTAAAACTTTATTATAGGTAAATAAAACAACATTACCCTAAACATTTTTATTTACCTTGCCTTAAAGAAGTTTTTCAAGAACAATCCTTAAATTGACATACATCCTTTCAATTTATTAAAGTTGCAGTTCTCAATTAAAAACATTCTTTTAAATGATCACAAATAAAATCCTTATTTTATTAAAAGCGTTTCATAGTAGAGGAATGACGGAAGACGGAATGACAGTTTGTTTGATTTGGTATAGTATTGCCAGAATATGTTTTTGTTATGTACCAGATTTGCCTAAAAAATGTACCAAATTCCTTAAATGTATCAGATTTTTCGAATTCTATTTGCAGTGACATCTAATTCATTGAAAAGGAAAAAAGGGATCTTTATTGATAACGGACCATATATATGTACAGAAAAATGATTGGAACAGAAAACATCACTATTTGAAATGTTTTCTGGAGTAAGTTTCAATATGTTTCACCAAATGCGTTTTTTCGGCAGGATTAGCTGGAAACCTACAAAAATTATGATTATTATTTTTTAATTTTTCAGTCCAAAACAATATTCCTTATACATAATACAAGTTCGTTAAATTTAATTCACTAAATTTACCATTTATTTTAAATTCATTTTTAACAACCTTTTGCATAAAATGTAGGTACGATGTTTCTTTAAAAAAAATGGTAGATACGCTAATGGTTACTTACTTGTGAAATGCCCTTGACGATGCTTTTTCTTATTTCTATTTAAAACTTACACAAACTCTCACCATTGTTAAAATTTGTATCAGTAAAGTAATAAAATACAAAAAATCACTTATAAACTACAAAATAAGCTAGAAATTAATGAAAATCAAAAATCAAATGACAGTTCTGACAATTTCAAACGATTTGACATGCCAAGCAAAACGAAACAGACTAATGGGAATGCTGGACACTATTTTTCCCCCTGTACCAAAACAAAGTCCATTTGGACGATGACTCTAGTAATATACGCTCGAAGATCTCTGCCCATGAATTTTTTATAATTGTCCAAACTTTGAAATTTAATTACTCAATAACTTTTTTTGAGGTGTGTTCAGTTGTGATGTCTTACCTGCAATATAGAGTTTAAGAAATTCAAACGCGGACAAATGCTCCATGCAAGTGCGAAAATTGGTGATTTTTAATATGATTTGTTATTTAGTCAATGACGATAAATTGAGTGTAACTGTAACGGTAAGTTGCACTTCCTAAATGAGTGGGGTCCGTGAAAAAACAATTTATACCATTAAGAAAGAGGGGGAATAAAACAAATGCGAACTAAAATCTCATGCAAGAAGAAAAAAGCGGATAAGGCAGTCAAATTCTCGCGAATATACATGGAATGAGGGTTTTAAGAGCTTATTGAGAGGAATTGTACACAATGATTAAAAAAACATTCCGCCAAGTTTTACTGCAATATAATATTATTTAATAGAATGAGAATTAACCATCGTTCTTTTTAAGAACCCTATGTAGATTGTTGAAAAATATTGGTTTTGAATATGTAAGTATAACGTTAAAACGAAACGAAATCATTTATTGGCGGCACAGATATTTAAGTGCCATCAAACAATATCGCCAATAAAATTGTAACGTCATCTATTTAGATGATACTTGGGCCAACGTGGGTCAAACGGTTAACTATGTATGGTGCAATAACACCATAAAAAACCGTAGAGATGCTTCTATAAAGGGATAAACCACAGACCTTAAAGTACTTACACAAAGAGGTCTACGTTTCGTTATTGTTCATGCAGGAAATGAAGGTGGATTTTACCTGGCGCCGCGCGTGTTTTCTTAACAAAGAAAAACGATAGCGATTATTATGACGTAATGAACGTCTGCTATTTTGAGCAATGGTAACTTACCCAAAAATGGACGAAAAAACGTTGTTGTTATGGATAACGCTTCGTATCATTCCCGTAAATTTAGTTTTTCAGCTACTTCGTAGAACCAACTCGAAATAAAAAATTATCTCTTTGAAAAAACATTTTGTTAAACGACTTTTATTTAAAATCTGAGCTGCTTCAAGTTTCCAACGCATACAAAAAATAATAAGACAAATATAAGATTGAGAAAATAGTTGCAAAATACGGGGTAACTGTTTTACGCTTATCACCGTATCATTGCGAGCCTAACCTGATAGAGATAATATGGAATCAGGAAAGCACTATATTGCTATGAACCAATTTGTTTCCAAGACACAGGATGGAATACAATGGAATATAGGTTATTTAAATATCTGAGGAGTACCTCTGAACTTCCATTTAAAGCTTTTAGTATAGGTCAGGCAAATATCTGAGGAGTACTTCTGAACTTATTGCTTTTATTTTGTCTGCTTAGCACAAATTTAGTGAAATCTTTTGAAATATTAAATATAGTATAATTTTTAGCATTGTGCAAGCTTTATGTTTTATTAATGTGGTCTGGTAAATGGTATGAGGAATCCGAGGATTCACAATTACAGAAAAAATCGGTAAGTTGTACTGTCCTGGATGGGCGGTGTTAGTAAGTAATTTTTTTGTTTTTGGTTTTTCCTATATGTTTTGTTGCCTAAATGATATATTAACTACCCGAGACCTACTAGGTGACTAGCTTATTAACCACGCGATGGCAGGTGGTAAGCATTTCGTGACTAGTAGAGTGAAAAATGCTGGACGAATATTGTTGAAATCCGAGGAGCACAGCTTTAATTCTGAAATTATTTTAAACATAATAATTGAAAAATGTTGGACGGATATTGTTGATATCCAAAGAGCAGATCGTGTTTTAAATTATTTTAAAATCTTGAGTAAAGTGTTAGAAATTAAAGGGCATGGGGTGTTGTGCTACTTATTTGAAAATGCAAGGTTTTGTCTCGTCTCAGAATGTAACGAGAAACATTTTCGAAATAATTGGCGTGGAAAGAATTTGGCGGCTAATCTTGTAATTTTGTTATTTTTATTTGATACGTCTTTTCTTTTTGTTTAATATTTTTATAAATTAAATTAATACAAATTAATAACCAGTCTTTACATACAAAAAAGAGAATATTTCAAAAGCGAAATAAAGTATGGCCGTGTTAGCAAGTTAACAAATTTTTATTAATTGTAGTACGGTAAAGCACATCGGCAGTCAAGATTGGGGAGTTCGGGGAACTGATGCGAACCGTAGTCAGCGCTCCTCCAGGCAGAACGATTAGAGTTGCCTTGAATGTCTAATGTGATCAGCTGTGGCTGTTGGCTGATTCTCATACATTATGTTCTATCGGTAATCACTTGATAACTTAATAATTATTTGACTTTTATCACTTTTATTACGTAGAAGAGAATACATAAAATGGTAGGTTACAATAATAGTGTTGCGTATGTGCAACACGGAGTTAACTAAGTTAATACTAATAGGAATCAAATCATGCTTACAATAATTGATTACTATAAGAGAATGATACAAAATTGCAAAATATTGTTAAAAAGTAATTAACCAATACCTATATAAGAGATAGTTATTTTTAACTTTTTCTTTGTTTATTTTTGTTTAATTATAAATAAAACTACACTTGTAATTCTACCAACATTCTACGGAAAACAAACAAAAATTCAAAAATAAGGTGTAAGAACCCTAAATGGATGGGATGTTTCCTAAATTTATGATATATTTAAAAAAATTTATTGTTTTAACAACTATTTGTCAAATTAAATTAATTTGATTGGTGGATGATTTTTGAGACGAAGGTAATGCAAAGGCTTTGTGGAAATAACTATTTAGGGCAGCTTGTTTATGATATACAAAGTGACTGGAAAATAAATTAATAAATGTATAGTATAATACTTGAGTTTTACAATGAAACATTATTTTAAATTAAGTATATTACACATTTAAACTTAATTTTTCTACCCTCGCCCAAGATAACTTAATGTTAAAAATATTCCGGTGATCTTAATTACTTTGGCCCCATTTCTTACAAAATTTGTAATATATTCAAAAAGTATCATATATTAAAGTATACTTACTCATTGTACTAACGGGTCTGTTTGCACGTTTTGTTACACGTAATTAAATTTAATTTGAGTTAACTCTTATATACAGAATAGCTTATCAGGTATGGTATTCATTAAAATTCGTAGTATTTAAAATTATGTTTAAAATAATAATGACGAGAATTATGGTATTACCTATGATCTAGACTTATGAAATTTAAGGAACTCTTAAATAAAAATAATTTACCTACAGCTACATTAAATTTTTTAAAAAAGTGGTTAAATACTAAGCATAAAATACTGTAATAATTGGCATTATTATTAATTGAAAAAATATAAAGATTTTACCAAAAATTCTAAACAAGTATTTAATGTTTAAATTAAATAATTAAAAAGACACAATGAAACAAACCTTCAATTTATTAATCTACATTGAACGTGACATTGTTAAATACAATCAACAGTCACATAAATTATGGTTTATATAGAAAGGATCACTTGGGTAAACTCTCAGTCGGGTTCGGACTAAGGTCCAGAACTTTCGCCCCTTGGGCGAAACCCTGGTTTGTATTGTAAAGTAATGGGTAAAGTTTTTTTGTGTACGATGTGAATTATGGGTAAATATTTGAACTTAATTTTGTTTAATAATAATTGATTAATTGATTTACATATAAATGCCAATTTTACATTTTCGTCCCGAATTATATTTATCTTATGCCTATCTTTATTACTATTAGTTATAGTGTTTTATTCCCTAAATGGAATTTTGTTAATTTTTTCTTAAGACTATTTGTCAAGTTTTATAGTTATTGTTAATATACATTTGTTAATGTTTTAATACTTATTATTAATCTCTCCTCCCTTTCCAAACCAGCAAAATACTCCGAGCATTTGAGAAGCCTCGGCGTTTCTATTCCCTTAGGACCAAAAGAGTCTAAAACTAGTTGCCAAGAACCGCTCGACATATGCTATTAAGGGATGTTTTTTTGTATTTTATTATTTTTTCTTTATTATTTTTTTTGCCACTGGCGAATGGATGTTCCTTCAGGACTCCAGGACCCTTTGGCTGGTGACAACGCTGCCCTAATCCCTTAATAGTATAATGACAACAGTAGCTAAAGACCTATCAGTAGTTACAAATGGTCTTTGGGCTAACTGGTTGTTACATTTGGTGACGAGCGTTGGTCTTTAGGCTAACTGGTTGTTACATTTGGTGACGAGCGTTAGTTCTTTAGGCCTTTAGGCTAACTGGTTGTTACAATACGTGTATGTTTTAACCAGGTGCTGGTTATAACTAATAACAAAATATTAAACTAATTAAAAACCAAACTGACATTGGGGTCTATTCTGTAACAATTCCTTTATATTTAACAGCCTTTAAAAATATTTTTTTCTTTACTTCTGTCATTATTTAAACGGATCTTTCAAATACATTAGAGGACTATCTTAAAGAAATCTGTTTAAATAATAACAGAAGTAAATTAACGAATAAAAATATACTTTTAAAGGCCGCCAATATTTTTAAAGGCCGTTAAATATAAAGGAATTGTTACAGAATAGACCCCATTGGAGGTAACATTTTAGCAGAACAGTTATAAATAATTTAAAGGGGTTGTAGATGTGTACACACGGAGTAGTAGGAGAAAATGAAAGATTTTGTGTAAAGGAGAATTTGTTTAAACAATTTCATTTTATTTAAAATAATAGTCAAGAGCTTTCACCGAAAACTCGTCAAACAACCGTAAGAAAAGAAGAAAAAGACATTAGTTACGAACTCTGGCCAACGTAAGCGTAAAGTCACAACACCGAGTCACACCACCAAAATGGGATTGATCAAAAACTTGTAAAGTAACAGTGATATTATGAACGAAATAGGAAGTGAAAACTTCATTCCGCTGGAGTACCTTTGTCACCAGTGTAGGTGGAGGACGAATATTAATAAAAAATTAAAACAATTGAGAACACTGAGTACTGCTACTCCCATCTACAATAGCAGATAAAGTAAACTGTCTGTAGGAGGCCTACAATTAGTAACGGATGATACATTTTTAACTTTTCACTTAATTTTAAAATAGAAACAACAATGTTAAAATTCGAGACAGTATTGTAGCGCCGTGTGATTATTTGAACTATTTGAAAGGAAGTGGCGCCATCTCATGGTCCCATTAGTCAATACAAAACGCTTGAATATTCAATTTTTACAGGTTAAAAGTGGAAGTCAAATTAAGATTTGTTTAACTTCGTTTTTACGTTATTGTAGCAATACAATTATATTCGTAACAATAAAGCAAAAAATGAGTAGTACGAACCAATCCTAACTTGACTACAAGTTTAAATATTTTATTAATACACAAAAAATTTAAAAGCATGGTCAACAAAATTAATAAAACAAAAAAGCATACAAATGGAATAATTAAATGTAACAAATCAATTGGCTTCAATTTTCACAGCGGTTGAAGAGTTTTATCTGCAATAAATATTAAAAAACTTACATAGCAAATGAAGGATGCAGGAAGAAAAAAGCGACTGAGCCACATTTTTGTGAAAATTGAACTAGTACCACCCTATTTTGTAAAATACCAGTATGTTTTCATGTAATAAGCCAAATTAGCAAATGCAAAACAGTGCATTTAAAATAATATCCAAGGACTTAGCACCTGTGTCTACTGTTTGACAACTTTTAGAATTTAGAATAAAAAATTTAATGTCTCCAACACATGACTTTCCTATCTAGATATTACATGCTTTTTTCGGTTATTTTGTACAACCTATTGCACCACCTCTATAAATGTTTAGAGGATAAACTAAATATATACATTTTCCACATACATCTAACTCGAAATTTCTCGAATACGTACCATTTCAGGAAAATTTGGTATATACAAAAATTATAGATAATAATATTAGAAGTAACTTTTATTTAAACAATTTTCTTCTCCAAACATAAATAACAGATATATTCGATTATATATAAAAACGACCTCATATAAAGTACCCCCAGACTTTGTCCAAAATCTAATCCTTTCACCTCAGTCCGAAATTAAACTTAAGTTTAAAATTTAATGTTTTTTCCTCTATCCGTTTTTGAGTTTTCTTCAAAATTCGTAATTTACACAATTTCTCAAATATATCGAATTTTAGAGAAATTATATATAAAATAAAAATTATAGAGAATTATATTACAAACAAATTTTATTTAAACCATTTTTATAATAAAATAATTTTTTTATATTTTGTCAAATTTCTCGAATACGGATCATTTTAGAAAAATTTTCTATAGAACAAAAAATGTAGATAATAATATTAAAACTAACTTTTGTTTAAAAAAATTTTGTTTCTAAACGTAAATAATAGATATATTCCATAAAATACAAAAACGGCCTTGCATAAAGTACCCCCCAGATAATCCGACTTTGTCCAAAATCTAATCATTTCATCTCAGGCCGAAATAAAACTTTAGTTTAAAATTTAATGTTATTCCTTTATCCGTTTTTGAGTTTTCTTTACAATTCGAAATTTACAGATTTTCTCCAATATATCGAATACAATATCCATTTTTTTGAGAAATTATGTATGAAGTAAAAATTATAGAGAATTATATTACAAACAACTTTATTTGAACAATTTTTATAAAAAATTATTTTTTTTACATTTTGTCAAATTTCTCGAATACGGACCCTTTTAGGAAAATTTTGTATAAATCAAAAATTATAGATAATAATATTAAAAGTAACTTTTACTCAAAAAATGTTCTTCTCCAAACGTAAATAACAGATATATTCCATAAAATATAAAAATGACCACCCATAAAGTACCCCCCCAGATGTTCCGACTCTGCCTAAAATCTAATCATTTCATTGGACGCTGGAATAAAGCTTAAGTTTAAAATTTGGTGATTTTCTGTGTATCGGTTCATGAGTTATGGTGGATACAGATATACACACGCAGAGACATCATCGAAAATAGTCAAAACGGATTCAGGGGACCTCAAAAACGTAAAAATCCGTCAAACACTCGAGGTCGAAAAAATTATAGTGAATTATATTACAAACAACTTTATTTGAACAATTTTTATAAAAAATTATTTTTTTTACATTTTGTCAAATTTCTCGAATACGGACCCTTTTAGGAAAATTTTGTATAAATCAAAAATTATAGATAATAATATTAAAAGTAGCTTTTACATGTTTCGACTCTTCCCAACATCTAAACAGTTTACTGGAGGGCGGAATAAAGTTTAAGTTTAAAATTTGGTGTTTTTCTTTGTATCCGTTCATGAGTTATCAGGGACGCACACACACACACACACACACACACACACACACACACACACACACACACACACACACACACACACACACACACACACACACACACACACACACACACACACACACACACACACACACACACACACACACACACACACACACACACACACACACACACACACACACACACACACACACACACACACACACACACACACACACACACACACACACACACACACACACACACACACACACACACACACACACACACACACACACACACACACACACACACACACACACACACACACACACACACACACACACACACACACACACACACACACACACACACACACACACACACACACACACACACACACACACACACACACACACACACACACACACACACACACACACACACACACACACACACACACACACACACACACACACACACACACACACACACACACACACACACACACACACACACACACACACACACACACACACACACACACACACACACACACACACACACACACACACACACACACACACACACACACACACACACACACACACACACACACACACACACACACACACACACACACACACACACACACACACACACACACACACACACACACACACACACACACACACACACACACACACACACACACACACACACACACACACACACACACACACACACACACACACACACACACACACACACACACACACACACACACACACACACACACACACACACACACA